TGTTCTCACTTATTGGTGGGAGATAAAAATAAATAAATAAATTCACACACACACAAAAGAAAAAAAAAAAACCGGCGGGGAGAAGAAGACATAACATTTACAACTCCTTGAAGTTGAAATGACAAGCATACAGAAAGGACATTGTTGGGAGGGAGGGGGGAGGGTGGAGGGAGGGAGGTTTCGGTAATGGGCCACAATAATCAACCATATTGTATATCGACAAAATAAAATTAAAAAAAAAATCAATTTTGTGATAGGAGAGAAATAGCTGATTTCTTGGTTAATGGTAGACTATGTGTAACAGATAAGTATCTTAACAAATGCCTCTAATTGTTTTACATGTAACTAGTTGCACATATGTGTGACAAATTTGTGAATATGTATTTTCATGAGTAGCACATATTTATTGGTAAAAATATTTCTTTTGATGAAATAAAAATATTTAAGATGCTTGGCACATAATAGGTTCTTCATAATTGTTAGTTTTCTTTTCTGTCCTTATTATTTTTGTTGCTCGTGTAGACCAGGTCGTCTCAGCCTCAGCATTATTGACATTTTGGAGTGGATAATTCTTTATTTTGAGGGGCTATTCTGTGCATTGTAGGATATTTAACAGCTTCCCTGGCCTTTAACCATAAGACACTAGTGGTAACCCAGAAATTTTGACAATTAAAATTGTCTCTAAACATTGCTGAATGTCCTGTAGGGGGCAAAACTACCTCTAATTGAGAATCACTGATTTAGACTGATCAGATAATTTTTTTAATTGTAAAATTTTATCTGACAAATGAGACAGAAAGGAAATTGTATATGTCGAGACCAGGCTTTATTTAAAAAGGTATATTGCCACCAGTTCTTCGTAAGCCACCCCTTCCTAACTTACGTTTACATATTTAGTATGTATATTTGTATAGCTATTGCTCACCTTTCTCTCTTTTTGTTGGGTAGTTTCTTTTCTTAATTTGACTTTAAATGTTATGTAAATTAGTTGTTGTATATTAGCTTACCTAGAAAATGACGATAGATTTGAGCAAGAAGTTGCTTCGAAATAGTTATAGTGAGGTAATCTTTAGTTATAAACTATGGCTTATTTGCCAATAGGTAGACTCATTCTCATAATGAACTGAAGAAAACTGAAAAATGCCTTTTTTTAAACATTGAAGACATATCTAAGCTTGTAGTATGCTTAGTTAGTGTGATTTTTTGCATCCAATACATAATCTTTCAATTTTTCTATAGAGATTTAATTTGATGAAGGTTTTGTAAGTTTATAACCCTTATCTTACTTTAAAAATCCAGTCATCTATTATGTTTTGAAGTATAACTGAACAATAGGACTAAAACTATGTATTTTCATAGTAAAGAATATTGAAAGAAATGATAGTTTCTTAAATAGTATACTTTCAAATGACTTATTAATTGGCAATTATTCTTACATTTTGTATTCATAAAAATATTTAATTAATTTTGCTAGAGTAAAAATTGGATATAAAAACAGTAGTGGTTTAGGTGAGAAACATATAAATTGAAATACTTGTTGTTTAAATTGGTCTGGAATATATGGTAGAAAGGAATGTTACATGTCAGAAACCAAAGCCTCCCTTCACATCTTTTCTCTCAATCTCTAGTCATTTGCTCCTCAGATTGCAAAGTCTACCTTAAGTTTTTCTTCAGTCTCTCTCTCCTCATTATTCCCATTACCATGACTCTTGTCACTCAGACTCTTATCATCTCACTGGGATGTCTTCATTGTCTTCCTTCCCATTCTTCTGTCAGCTTCCATGGAAGTGATTTTCTAACACCTGATAATTTTATTGCCATGCTTAAAATTCTTTAGTATCTCTCCATTGCCTTTATAATCTCTTTAGTTTCCCCAGGATTTTGGCCCTTTCATTCTCTCCAACTTTATTTGGCATTACTTTCTTGTAACACCCCATGCCTTATTGCCATTCTGATTTATTTGTAGTTTGCCATATATATTTACATTTGTACAGATTGTTTCTACTGTCTGCAGTTTCTTCGTATCCTTGTTTATTGAGGGTTATTCACTGATTAAGGTTTTTATTCCAAATATTAATGATCATTTTATACTGTGGATTGTAGAAATAGGCAGGTGATTGGACTCAGTTGATAGTGGTTTTAAAAAAAATTTATTTTTTAGTGAGGGCCTTTTTTGGAAAGAAATCCTACTGTAACCCACAAACAAGGTAGAAGTGGTTTTCATTTGTTTATATTTGCTAGTGAATTCAGTTTATAACTTTTGTTTTTGGTAAAGTTAATTGCTGAGAACAAGGCCATATTTATGAACACTAACATTAGAATTATGTTAATAATACCAATTGCATATTTGTACCAGTATTTCACTTGAATATCTAGATTTTAAAAAATTAATATATTGAGGTATAATTTATACATAATAAAATGCATTATTTAAAGTGTGCAGCTTGCTGGTTAGTTCAGTTTGTTAGAGTACCATGTTATAACACCACGGACAAGGGTTCATATCCCCATACTGGCCCCCAAAAGAAAAAAAAATACAAGTACAGTTTGATGAATTTTGGCAGTTGTAGACAGTGGTGAAACCACAGTCAAGATTCAGAACATTTCGGGGCCGGCCCGGTGGCGCACTGCTATAGTGCGCCGCTTGGGAGCATGGTGGCGCTCCGCCGAGGGTTCGGATCCCACATACAGACCGGTTCCCGCTCACTGGCTGAGCGAGGCGTGGGGGCAACACTGAGGGTTGTGATCCCGTTGCCGGTCCCGGTCCGGTGCGGGGGCAACACTGAGGGTTGCGATCCGTTGCCGGACACGGAAAAAGACAAAAAGGAAAAAAAAAAAAAGATTCAGAACATTTGCATCTCATACTTCTTAGTGTCCATCTTGTCTTCAACCCTTAGTTCCAGATTAGGGAATCACTTTCTACTTTCTGTACTGTGGGTTAGTTTGCATTTTCTAAAATTTTATGGAAATGAAATTACATATGTACTTGTTATGTGGCATTTTCCTATAGTGTAATAGTTTTGAAATCATCCTCATTGCATTTATTAGTAATTTGTTGTTTTTTTTTGGCTGAGCAGTATTCACTGTGTGACTATACCACATGTTGCTTTTCCATTCACCTGAGGATGGGCATTTAGGATGTTTGCAGTTTTTGGCCAGTATCAATAACCTTTCTATGGACATTTGTCTTTGTGTAGCTGTGGACATTTGTCTTTATGTACAAATCTTTGTATGGACATATGTTTTTATTTTTCTTGGGTAGATAACTAGGATTAGAATGAATGGGTCACTTGATATATGTGTATGTTTAACTTTTTAAGAAACTGCAAAATTGTTGTCCAAAGTGACTGTGCCATTTTACATTTCCACAAGCAGTGAATGAGAGTTCCAGTTCCTCTATATCTTCACAAACACTTGATATGGTCTGTCTTTAATTTTAGCCATTCTAATGAGTATATAGTGGGATCTCATTGTGGTTTTTATTTGCATTTTCCTGAATTAATGATGTTAAGCATCTTTCCATGTGCTTATTGGTTCCTGCATATCTTCTTTTGTCAAGTGTCTGTTCAACTCTTTTGCCCAGTTTTTAAAAAAGTGAGTAGAGGTGTAAAAGAGTTCTTTATATATTCTAGATACAAGTCCTTTGCCAGATACATGTATTGCAAATATTTTCTGTGGCTGGCCTTTTTATTTTCTTAATGGCATTTTTCAAAGAGCAAACATTTATTGTTTCGAAGTAGCCTAATTTATCAGTGTTTTCTTTCGCGTCATGCTTTTTGTGTTCTATCTAAGAAATCTTCTCTACCCTAAGAGTGCAAAGATTTTCTCCTGTGTTTTCTTCTAGAAGCTTGTAATTTTATGAGTTTATTTCTGTATTTGATCTTGGTTGCACTCTCTCAGGATGATCTATATACATGGAGGAGAGTAGTTTGCAAAAGGTAACATTAAAAAGATTTAGTACTAAATATGAGGATATTCTTTAATTAAACAGAGATAATAGGAAAAGCTTTATTTTGAGGTCCGCAGGATTGTCAGTTAACCTGGCAGCAGCGTTGTCATGTTAATAATGTCCCTCAAGCTTTTTTATTTACTATTTTCAAAGTAGTTAATTAAGACCATGAATATGTCCTGAAAGAGGGTTTAAGAAAAATAAATTTCCTTTTGTCTGCAAATTTTTTTCCTTCTGAAGTTTATTTTGAAAGATTGCAAGCTACTGTAAAGATACAGTCAGTTGGTTTGTAGATACCTTGAAAGTAGTAGTATTTTTACTGTACTGTATATCCAGCAGTTAGTTAATTATTTTTTATAGCCAGTCACTTTGGTTGATTACATTCAACTAGTGACAACCCCCAGGTGAGTTTGTTTTCATTAGTTTCTTTGCCCTGATCTAGTTTCTGGATTTAAAAAAAAAATTGCTTTGGCTATCTTGCAAGTGTGTACCATTGGCCATTTTTTTCCTACTGGAAAAATTTATCCAAGGTTTGCAGATCCAGAGGTTTCTAGTGTGTGTTTGATGAAAATGCCTCTTTATTTACCATGCTTGGAATCTCTTAGTTTTAAGAGAAGTCTTTAGATAGTAGAGACAGTTTTTAACCAATAAACCAATATGAGGGTAAAAAAGTTCATGGGAAGATTCATGTTATCTTATAATCCCATTTTTCCATGAACTTTTTGAAGTGCTCTTGTATATTACATTTAAATTTCTAGTCAGTACTATAAATTAGATATTAAACATCTTAAACTGAAAAATTAACTTAGAAGGTGTTTCAAGCTTTTAAAAAATATAGTTATTTTATGAAATGACTGAAATGTTTTGATTGCAGGTTGAAATTTTAAAGTAAAATGTGGCCTCAGAAGTGAGTTATTAATTTTAAACCAAAGCTACTTTATTTTCTAGGTGTTCATTGTACCCATGGTTTCAATCGCACTGGTTTCCTCATATGTGCCTTTTTGGTGGAGAAAATGGATTGGAGGTACTTGTATCTTGTTACAATGGAAGAAGATGTATTTAGTAATAAAAAATTTTATTGATATTTCTGTTGTAGCATTTTATATTGCCAAGCTTTTTGTGAACTCATGATTAATATAATTTGAAATGGTTTTAGTTTTAGATATGGTTAATCTTTAGAATACCATCACCTAGTGTGTTGTACTAAGTAGCACTTATGAATCCTTGAGTACTTATAAATCCCATAAACTGTGTATATATTTACTTTCCTAGATTCTTTTCACATCTTACAGAATTATTAGACATTTTGTACCAATATTTTGCGTTTGTATTCAGCTTTGGAATTTACTATTGTTGTTGTTTTCCTTTTTATTAGTCTTTTTTATAGCTGTTGAGTATTATGAAAAGCTTATAATGCTCTACAAAGGAAGTGTTTTTTTTTTTTAAATTTTATTTTGTTGATATACAATGTGGTTGATTATTGTGGCCCATTACCGAAACCTCCTTCCCTCCTCCCTCTCCCCCCTCCCACCAAACAATGCAAAGGAAGTGTTTTTAAGACAGGGTTATTACTCCATTTAAACCAGTTAGCATGAGCACCTTTTTTTTGTGAAGTATGTTTTTAGATCGTGAGAGATTAGGACCTTAGTTACTTGAAGTTCCTAAAAGAATAGGATATTACTAACTGAATTTTCTTGTTGACTCATTGAGGGTCATTATGTTTCAAAGAATTTCACACAGCAGATCCTTTTTTGAATATAATCTGTTGAAGTACACATCTGATTGCACATTTTCCAGTTTACACATCCTCAGTGGTTCTCTCCTGCATGTACTTTCTAGCTCTGACTGTTCAGGTTCTCTGCACAATAACCCCAGACTCCTATGTCAGACTCAGCCTGGTCTGTTGGAAGTTCCTGAAAAATCATTATGCTTTTGCTTTTGTTCACAATGCTATTCACATTTCCTTGACTGCTGTTTTCCCTTACATTCAGACCTCAATCTTTAAGGCTTTATTTAAATCATTCACAGATCCTACCCAGGTCTCTTCTGTACTCTTATAGCAGTTTACTTTTAGAGTTTAAGAATTATCAGTGTACCTTACATTAAAACCTATTCAGAATTTGTCCCTTAATAAATTAAATGCCTTGAGGGTGAATACCATGGTTTGCCCATTTTGTAAACTTCTATTATACTTTATATGGTGCCTTGAATATAAGAAGTGAGTTTTGATAAGTCTTCATAAGTGGAGAACAGTGAGGAAATTGCATGGTGTTTGTTTTCCACAGTATTGAAGCAGCAGTTGCTACTTTTGCCCAAGCCAGACCACCAGGAATTTATAAGGGTGATTATTTGAAGGAACTTTTTCGTCGCTATGGTGATATAGAGGAAGCACCACCCCCACCTCTGTTGCCAGATTGGTGTTTTGAGGATGACGAAGATGAAGATGAGGATGAGGATGGAAAAAAGGAATCAGAACCTGGGTCAAGTACTTCCTTTGGCAAAAGGAGAAAAGAACGGTTAAAACTGGTAATGTTAAAAATATTATAATAGTCTTTACCTTCTTCTTCTGCAAGGTTATTGAGATTTATGAAAATGGAATGCTAGTCATGTTTCTTTAGCTAGGTTTGTAAGGTTGTTTCATTCTGGCTATTTCTAAAGATTCTTGATAGCCATGAGTCTATCTTTTCTCAGAGAAAAATTACAGGTATGTAAATTCATCCTGTTTTTATTTAGGTAAACCAAAGAACTCTTAGATATTAGATTGAGAAGTTACTATTTCTTTACAAAGTATTGTAAGATTCCAAGTAAATGTCTAGTGAGAATTTTTACTAATGCTTTACAAAATTTTCACATAGTTAAAATAACTTTACATGTGATTTCTCCTACCTCCCCCTATGGGTGGTGTTTTCATACTTTTCATAAAGTTGAGCTGAAGAGACTTTGACTTCTCTACCCAATGTTTATTAATCTTCTAGAAATAAAAGGCCTAACCAAAAACAGTAGGAGTTATCTCCTTTTCTTGGAGTGTAGGGGAACTATTGAGAGGAAAAGTACTGGTTTTACTTGTACACGCATAAGTACATGGTGTAGGCCGAAGGGGAAAGTTAGGGAAAGTGCGGAGGTAATTAAGTGTTTATGATGTTAGTAGTTGAGGTGTGTGGTATACAGGATACTTCAAAAAGTTCTTGGAGAGATTTGTATTATCTTTGAATTCTATTTTTCTACAAACTTTTTGAAGTACCCTTGAATTATGGTTGAACTGTAAACAGCACAACTAATTTATTAGTAGGAAGTGGTTCATAGGCAGGGAAGAAAATGCTTTGTTTTATACAAATCATATAACACAGTTATTTTGGGCTTTTAAAAAAAGTTCCTTGTTTGAAAAACATTGTTTTAATTGTATTTACACATTTCAAACTTCAAGACTATAAGGTCGCTGAAAATTGTAAGCTGCTTGGAAACACAGAAATACTTTTGAAAGTAACTTATTCTTTTAGTCTGACATTATTTCCTGGATTTAGTATACCTGAAATTACTGAATCACATACCTAGAAAAACAATCATCACATTCTAAGGAAAGTTGAATAAAGAGCAGAACATGAAGTATAGATGATTACCCTCATATGATATCATTTTTATAAGGGAATTCACTGTATTTTTTAAGAGTAATATTCATCATGAGCAAATGCTTAATGTGTTTTGAATTATGATATATTTGATTCCGTAAAAGAGTTTAAAACAGTGTTATTAATTTGATAAATGGGGTAAAGTTTGCAGATTTTTTTTTGCTAGAGGAAAAGGTCTTAAGAGTGACATCTATTTTATATTATCAAGTACCATTAAATTCCTTTAGGTGTAAATGAGCTCCAGCAGTATTAAGAGAAAAATAGCCATGGTTGGCATGTTTCTTAAAGGGAAAATAAATACGACATTTAAAATAAAATTCCAAACATAGTTTCTCCTATTTTGTTTTGTCGGTTACTACAAGAAGTGTTTTAAAAATTCCCCACTATGATTGTGGATTTACCTATTTCTCCTTGTATTTCTATCAAGTCTTGCTTTTAATATTTTGAGGTGGTATTATTTGGTACATACTAATATGTGTAAAAAATTGTTTTATTTTTACGGTGTCTTTATCACTTTGAAGTATGTGATAGTAATATGGTTGCAAAAGCTTTCTTTCAGATAGTGTTTGCATGGAATGTTTTTTTTTTTTTTTTTTTTTTTTTTTTTTTTTTTTTTTTTCCGGTCCCGCCACGGGACCCCAACCCCCGTGGTTCCCCCCCCCCCGGCCGGGGG